ACCTATTCCAGTGGCTCAGTGGATGCCCCTGTGTTATGCCTACCTAATTTGTCTTTGCCCAATTCTACTTCTCAAATCCGATGCAAGTGCTTTCATCGAGAAGTAGTTAGTCAAGGTAAAAACACTAGAACTCAGAAGAGGCTGACTGTGAACGATGTAGAATGAGATGGGAAGTTCATGGTTGCCTTTAAATTGACCTTAAATCTGCTAGAATCGGTTAAGGGCTTTGTAATGCCTCATCAGAAATGTTTCCCTAATCGAGCTAACTCTCTGATGGGGTGCCACGTGTGGTGCTTCAGCTACCTTACGTGACCATGGCGTCATGACTGTGACAGGTGCTCCTGAGCAGGACATGGAACCTAACTGTAGCCAGTGGATCACTTAAGAGTAAAACAAACACGACATTTTTTATCTATTACAAAAAACTACTTTTTGAACATTGTTTGGTTGGAATTCTCGCTAATAAAAGCACCGATTTGATAGAACACCAATCGAATGTGACTCCTTCTTGGGCCTTTGCAACAAATGTGACTATGGTTTACTGAGAACGCTGTGTCGTTGGCTTTTAGACTTCGAGTGCCCCTCATCTCCATACCGGAAAAGACCCCTCCTAGTCTGCTCGCTTCACTCCTCTTCTTCGCCAAAAATCTGCTCCTCTTCAAGGCAATCACCGAAAAAGGCACTTCTTCGACTCCTGCCATCCCCCTACTTCTCCCGGAGGCGCAAAGTACAGTCAGTGTATCACTGCTTATGCAGATCTGCTCCCTTGATGTTGACACACCGCCCGCTCTGGAGGATGCCAACGATGGTGGTGGTGGTGGTGGTGGTGGGGGTGGTGATGGTGTGAGATTGGAACAGGTTGGGATCGAGGAAGAAGAGAGGAAGGAAGATTCCAAATCAATTAGGGTCCCTTCCCTACACAGTGACAGCAGTGCCTCATCAAGGGTAGTGCAGACTTTCCAGACGCTTCCTCGTGTTGCAATTGGCTTGGATTTCTCCAACAATTTCACAGTACCGGAGAATCGAAGGCAGTTAGTGCTGTCGCCGCTAGTAATGTTTGTCACCATTTGTCAAGTGAGCAACTTTCCTTTCTATTATACCTTACTACTATGGCACATATATTTAGGAGAACTGGCGCATAAAGATGTGCCAAACATTTGCACGAATCTTGAGAGAAC